CATTTTGGGGAAAAGCTTTGAGCAGCCTTGATATATGTATATAAACTGAAACAGCTGGACTAGTGCATCCTAAATTTAACATTAATTAATTAATTTAATACAACATTTATTTCTGCAGTTTTTCCCTATGTCATTACATAAAATCTAACTGCTCATTTTAAATCAATACTTTTACTTTTAATACTTAAGTACAAAAATATCAGATACTTTAAGGCTTTTACTCAAGTAATATTCCTAAAGGAGACTTTAACTTTTACCAAAGTAAGTTTTTGTTAAGATACTTGTACTTTTATTCAAGTATCACTTTGTGGTACTTTATACAACACTGCTCTCCTCAACCTGATTAGATCATGGACGGTCTAGTTTTACCTCAGCTCCTCCATGTTGGGCAAACTCTTGTCAAGGATTCTCTTCTTTCTGCTGAGCCGTTTGATCTCCAGCTTCAGCAGGTGGATGTCCTCCAGCCGCTGGTTGTAGTGGAAGTCCCCCTTGCTGAGGATGGACTGCTGGATCCTGATCTTCTCATAGAGCAGAGCACGTTCATCGTTACGACGCAGCAGCTGTTTGCCAAGACCATCCCGCTCTCTTATGACCTTAAGACAACAAATAATCAGACACTTTTCATTCGCACCTCGTCTTTTCGTCCACAGTCCTCTTTTACCTGATCCAGTTGCTTCTTCTGTTGGATTTTCTCGCTCTCCATGTCGGATATTATCCTCTGCAGTTTTTGTTTTTCTGCTTGTTGACTGTCAACGCACAGCTTTGTGTCTTCCACCAGCAGCTTCACTGACTGCAGCTCCGCCTGTTAAAGGACACATGAGATTAATAATAATAATAATAATAATAATAATAATAAGAATAATAATAATAATAATAATAAACTGAAGTTACAGATCCTTGAAAAAAAGTCAAACCCCACAACAAACTTTAAAGTATTTTACTATAATTTTAAGTGACGGACCAACACAAAGTAGCAAATAACTGCAAAGAGAAAGAAAAATACACACACATAATCACATAAACCATTTAAAAACAAAAATAGACAAATCCATTGCAGTATTATAAAAAGTAAGGGACTTATTTAATATAAAGTACTGTTTATATTATATAATGTATTAATTGTTCCACACTTGATTTACTGGGGTAAAGCTTGTAAAACAATCACAAATCCTACTTTTATTTTACAGAAAAGAGCCGTCAGAATTATCACCAGAAAACATTACTGYCATCCATCGAATATATTATTTTGTAAATTATTAAAATTTTATGAGTTGATTGATTATAATATCATGCAGATTATGTATAAGGCTCATAAAAAATTACCTTTAAACATTAAGTTATATTTTGTTAAGAGAGAAAGTTGATATAATCTTAAGGGACTTGAAATGTTTATAAAACCTAAGATTCAAACAAATTTGAAGGATCGATGCACTTCAGTTCAAAGAATAAGTTTGTGGAATAATCTGGAAAGTGATTATAAAAATGTTGGTTCAATGGGCCTCATGCAAGAACATGTTCGTATTCTTCTCCTAAATTTCTCTTACTTTTGTTCGTACAAAGGGTTCGTACGAACATGTCACGTCAGATTCAACAAACACTTCTATCTTCAGGAAACGTGCGTAAATGAGCTGCGTAAATTCTATCCAGCTGCTCGTGCACGCGAGAGGAGATTAGCATAATTACCACCCCAAAAACACCATATAAGGATATGCCTCAGATACAAGGAAGTGTTCATTCATTCATGAAAATTACAGCGAAAACTGAAAAAATAAAAACTTTACGAGTTCAGAGATTGAAGTCAGTCTGTCAGAGATCCAGAAAATAAAATCTGTCATCTTCAGCAGGTCAGTTGTGGGATAAAAAGAGCTGCTAAAAGTATAAATAACTGTGTTAAATCATTTTCATTTATTCAGAAGCCGCAGCGCTGCACGCCCCCCCCCCCCCCCCGGCAGCCTGAGTCGCGGTGTCATGGAGGACGCTGCCGGTTGAATAAAAAACTCTCATCTTGCTGAGTGGAGTCTGGAAGCAGATTCCCTTTTCCTTCAGAGCTTTTTTGATTGGAATACAGTAYATTCTCGTCTCTTTTTTTGTTCTTCCAGTGCGAAGTCATGATCAAAGTACAACTGTTTGCTTTCGATGCGTACTCCCTTTTTCCAAGCAGCCCTGAGGATCTCTTCCTTATCAGAGAATTGGAGGAAGCGAACTACGGTTGAGCGTGGTGGTGYGCTCACAGGTGGCTTTGGTCCCAGAGCTTGGTGGGTGCGCTCAATGTTGATGACACGGTCCAGGACCAGTTCTTGACCCAGTTCGTTATTGATGAGATTTTCAATAAAAACCAGCAGACGTGCCCTCCAAGTCTTTGGGGACACCATATATCCAGATATTTTTGCGTCTTGAACGGCCCTCCAAGTCAGACACTTTATCTTGTAGTGCCTGTTGGTTTTTCAACAGCTGTACAAGCGTTTCCTTAACTCCCCTGTCCCAACATTCTGATCACCATATTGTCCTCCACCTGATGTATCCGCCCAGCCACCTCGTCCACTCGGTCTGAGGTGTCCTGTAATCTCTGGTTTATTTCTTTGGCAAAGTCATCCATCTGCTTCTTTATGTCCTCTCGAAAACCAGTGTGAAACTCTTGGAAGTCGTTTTTCAGTTCGGTCCATAGAGATGACATTTCAGACAACAGAATATCACTTATTGCTCCACGGATCAGGTCCAGCCCTGCACTTCGGTCGCCATCTTGATTCAATGCTATGCCTTCTTCGTTCGTTGCTGCTTCTTCCATTTCGCGGTCAAGAATGTTTCGTAATCCGAACTCTCCTTTCTTATTTTTGTCCCCACTCATTATTTTACTGAAATTACCCAGTTTTAGCCTAAATGCAGCTCTCGAGTTTGGGGAATAAGAGGCTAATGACAGAGCTTGCTCTTTATGCGTCCGTACTGCATTGAGCACCACCGGAAATCCCTCAGGATGTGCTTTTTTAATACATTCCTTATTTATTTAATACATAATCTGGTCATTTTGACCAAATTTGACTTAAATCTCAGTTTGATGTGATGTTTTATATTTTCTATGTCATTCTGAATCAAAATCAGAAAACAATGAGCATGAGATTTATTTGTGTTTTTGTTTTTCTAACAGTTTAGAAGTTTTAGTTAACTGTACCTTGAGGGCCTCATTATCTTTCTCCAAATGCTTGTGCTCTTGCTGATCTTTGATAAGGGCCTCTTCCTTCCCAATGATTTCATCTCTTAGACGGCTCACCTGGTTGTTTAAAGTCTTCATCTTTCTTTTCATCTCTGCAATCTCTTCCTAAGACATGGACAGACAGCATATGTTCAGAAAATACAAGCAAACCATAAAACAGTTAGCTATTTTTAGCAAGAAAAATAAACCTGAAACAATAAAGCACATGAAACATGAGCAACAGTCCAAGTATACTGGGGTTAGACCATGAAACTGAAACACCTGGTTTTAGACCATAACATCCCTTTCAGACAGCTTCTTCTTGCGTCCACAGTTAATCCTGTTGGATGTGGTTGGTCCTTCTTGGTGGTATGCTGACATTACCCTGCATACTGTGGCTCTTGATACATCACAAAGACTTGCTGTCTTGGTCACAGATGGACCAGCAAGACGTGCACCAACAATTTGTCCTCTTTTGAACTCTGGTATGTCACCCATAATGTTGTGTGCATTGCAATATTTTGAGCCAAACTGTGCTTTTACCTTGCTAATTGAACCTATGCCACAAACAGATTGGCTTGAGGTAAGCTAAAGCACATTCGAAGAAGCCAGCTTCATTTTGGAATAAGGTGCTGTGGACTGATGAAATAAAGGTTGAGTTGTTTGGTCACAACAAAGGGTGCTATGCATGGCTGTGAAAAAAAAAAAACCACAGTATTCCAAGAAAGACCCTTGCTGCCCTTTGTAAAATTTGATGGAGGTTCCATCATGTGGCTGTGTGGCCAATGCTGGGGCTGGGAATTGAGGATTTGCAGTTGGACTGAGGTCTGGGCTTTGACTGGACCATTCCACGACATTTAACTGGTTGTGTCAGCAGTTTCCTGGTGGAAGGTAAACCTTTGTTACAGATGAAAAAAAGGCTTTTTAATGTCTGGAAGACTCCAACTAGTTCCTCTAAAGAAGGGCTGTATTTTGCTTCATCCATCCATCTTTCATCTTGTTGATGAAAAACATCCTCCCAGTATAATGCTGCCCCCACCGTGCTTTACTGTAGGATGTTGTTCTTAACATGATGACGACATTATGTTGTCTCATCTGACCACAGCACCTTCATCCACATGTTCGAGGAAGCCATTTCTCTGATTCTCCTCCTGACCTGCTCTGTGAGTTTTGGTATAGGACTCTCTGCTAGCAGGTTTGTGGCGGTATCATATTTCTACTTCCCAGTAGCAGATTGAATGGAGCTTTGTATGTTCTTCAGGGTTGTGGGATTTTTTATTATGACCAACACTGATCTGAACTTCTTTGCAACTTTGTTTCTGACCTGGTCTTCATGATGCCTCTTTTTTGGTGGTATGCTTTACTTTACATTAAAAGTGTAAAACTGCTGTTGGTTCTGCTATTACATTAGGTGTTTATCACTTGACAGGTTTAGATAATTTGTCACTTTAATTGAAGGTTGATATTATATAACAAACTGTTGCTGCTGAAGGGAATGGGCTGAATACATATACACAACTGTGTAGACACTGACTATGGGATTTTTTTTTCCATTTTCTATTTTTAATGTATTGCCTTGAATTTTTGTTGTGCTAAATGGCTTTTTATTATTTTGAATCATGCTTTTTGTCATATTTTTAGGATTTGTATTTTTTAAATGAAAGTAGCTTGTTGGTTTGTATGTATTGTATTATATCCAGAGGTGCACATAACCGTTGCACAGGTGCGCTTGTGYGATCAAAAAAGGAAAAAGTGCACCAGATGGGATGTCATAAAGCTCCCTTGCGTACCTAAGATTGTACCTAAGGTTGTACCTGATTGTCTGTCAAAACAACAGCTAGCAGGGCTCTAGAGTGCGACCAGTGTGGTCGCAAACGTGACCTGATTTCTTAAAAAAATTAATAAAATGAATCCACCACTGGTGTGAATGGATCGTTGTTCGGTGCGCCAGAGCGGGACCCTGATATAAGGATTAAACAGACACTGTCTTCAACAAATCAGACAAAGTCCAGAGCCGTTTTGTCCAATCAGAGCAGAGCAGGGCGGGACTTTCAGTGAGAGCAGTTTGGTTGAAGCAGCGGGCCGGCTCGAGTCGACTCGAGCTGCTGCAGCGATCAGTCACATCTCCTCCTCCGCTCCTCCTGCACTTTGCTCCTGAACTACCAGAGACTTTGGTCTGTAAAACCTAACTTTATTTTAAATATATGTTCAGAATGTTGTTATTGAACAGATCTGTCCAACTCTGTGTGAGTGACTAAACTCTCCTCCTGAGAGACTGCTGTATAAGCGCGTCGCTGCACGTGCAGGCTGTCTGTGAGATTCACTGAGTTCTTCTAATTAAACCACATTAACAGAACATTTCTTTGCCCCATATTAAAACAAAGATGATTCTCTGTTTAACACCCCAGTCAAAATATGTATATATACGTATATATTAGAGTCTGATACCAGCATCAAGTACTCGTACTCGTAAAAGCCGGCCGAAACTCTTAACCGATACCGCTTTTGTCCCCTTTTTTGTTCCTCCTGTGCTGCGCTGCA